GGTAGTGAGTGGAAAGAGGAAGGCTCCAGCTTCCCTCATGTCCTGAGTACATCTGAGGCTAATGCAGTACACAGTGTGTAAGACTTTCTGGAGGTAAGGTAGGGAGTATTCAGTGAGGTCAGTCCTCAGAAAGTGCTTGTAGCTTGAAAGGCAAATGTAAATTGGGAAGGATAAAAATACTTTTGGGCATTTTTGCAACTCTATCACTCAAAAGCCCATAAGGTTATTAGGTAGCTCAGACATGTCTAATCTTATATATGACCTTTAGACAGTGTGTGTTCTTTTGTGGTACCCTCTCCTGATTTTCTTTTCCATGAACCCATGTGGACTTAACAGCTGACATAAAGAGGGCAGAGGGGGAAGCTATTTTGCAATAATGCCTTAAAAGCATATGAGAGCAAAAAGAAAGTCTGTTATGTTTATTGCTAATTGAGAACAATTCTTTTACTGCCTTTGTGGAAAATTTCCATCTTCTGTGGTCTGTAAGCTGTCATTCTAGTTTCAGCTGCTGTACTGCTGCAAGTATGCTTGTGTCTGTGTGTTCTGGCAGTTGAGTACCTGTGTAATACAGCACTGTTTTCTGGTAAACTGTGCAGATTCTTCAGAAAAAAAATGTTATGGGATATGAAGACTTTTGGGGGCGATTTATATATGTGGGTATTTCTGTTCTATAACAACATAGGCAAGAGGAAGAAATACATCTTGAGTTTGAGTCAGAAGGTGGTGATAAATGTGATGGTCTTTACTGTCTTGTGATACTGCCACAATCCTCAGTCGTTGCTTTAGCCTGATCACAGATAATTCTGAAATGTGCATGACTGATGCTGTTAATTACAATCATGATGTGGATGCATGGCTGATTAATTTAGAGATTGTGTAAACTGCAAGCTGTTGTGAAGGTATGGGATTGAGCCTCGAACCTTTGTTCAGGTGGTTGGGTGGGAAGGGGTGAGCCTCATGCGTTTTATGGTGGTTGCTGTTTGTAAGGAGACATGCCTGCCATGCTAGTCCTTTTCTTCAATTGTCTAAGTAGGAAAGCCAATAAATTAGCAAGGGTCGACAGTCTGTTGTGTTTGAAGGGTCTGATGACTTTTGCTTGCTATAGGGCTCTACTTTTCTGTCCCTAGGCCTTATTTTTTGTTTTAGTGTAAGCGTACTCTTTCCTTCCTGTTCTGCGGTAGGAGCTGAGATGCCTGTCTTCCTGTTGTTCAGAGGTTTGTTAATTTTGTCTCTTCCCCATCCTATCAGCCCAGGGCACAGAGACTCTGGCAGTTGTGCATATACAGGATGTCTCCCATTGACAAATGGATTGTTGGGGGCTTATAGAGGGTTTCTGCTATGTGATGTGCAGTTGTAGCTACTGTCCTGAAAGCAAACTGGGAATGGCATTAGTTGCGTAGGCAATATGAAAAGGATGCACTTCCATGACGTGGAGGAAGCTGGAGGTGAAGGGGAAGTGCTGCTCAAGGGGAGAGGAGGCACTTTGGAGCATAGGGGTCAATGGATCATGGTGCTGTACCTCCTCTAAACCCACTGCAGGAAACCAGCCTCCAGGGGTTTTGTTGTTTGTGGAAGAATTTTAGGAGTGCTCTCACCTGCTAAAGCATTGGTTTGGAGACTGGTTTGTTGAACTTAAATTTCTTTGTTGTATGTGCAGAATAGCAACTCGAGTGTTTCTCTGTGCAGGACAGCATTTTAATTTTAGTTAAAGCATTTAAATCTCTATGAAAAATGCAAATTACCTCTGATTTGTTTACATTCTGTGTTACTGATTTGCTGTGCACTCTGCATTATTGCAGAGAGGAAGAAACCCTTTTCCAGGTAATTTGAGATGGGAAATAGGTCTCCATTAGTTGCATAGCTACTGGTGAAATGCCTAACATAGTTGTGGGATTAGTCTAAAACATGGATGAGATGTACTGGGCTGTGCATTGGTGACTCGATGAAGTCATTAGCACTGATCTAAGTATGTATCTGTATGCTGTGTCAGCTCTTGTAGCATCCCATGGGACAGTTGAGGTTCTACCTTCCAGCCAGCAGCATGCAGTTGGCTGTGCTGTGGGGGTGTGTTTGCAGTTGCTGATCGCAGAGAGTGGTTTTGGGGAGCTTGTTGCTGCTGAGTAAAACAATGTTTCGGGGAGTTTATTAATCAAAACTGTTGGATACCACCATGGACTATTCTTTGGTAAACCGTTCATCTGTGATTAAACTTCCTTTAAATCCACACCAGATTTTACAATCAATAAACTATAGTTACATAAAAAATTGAGTAAATGTTCACTTGAGGTTGAAAACGTGTCTGTGGGAATATATGCAGATAAACACAAAAAAGCCGTTAGAAAAAATGATGTGAACTATGAACATTTGTAGCAGTCACCTGAAACTTGTAGAGACAAGGTTATATTTTGAAGACAGAGATTGACATTTCCTTTAGTTTTCATTTTCAGTCACAGTATTCACAAATGTAAGATTTTTGCATCAGTGCCAGCCAAAGTACCTGAAGTGAAGAGTAGGTGGTTGTCTTGGGAATAGCAAGAGGGGTGGGGGAAAGAACTTGAACTTTCTCCAGGTGTGATGGAGCCTTGAGGTGAGTGAGATGTGGCAGGTGATCTTGGAGGCACCTCGAAGTGTCCATATCCTCTACCGCAGTGCCTTTATAGGACATGAGTAGTGTGCTGTGGTTTTACTCTTCAGAGTAAAGAGAAATCTCTGCATGGGAGAGATTTCTCTTTACTCTGCTGATCTGTAAATTGCTTAATGCTTGTCATTGTTGTTTCAGTCAGCAGTTGTTATTGCTGAAGCTGCCAAATATCTGTTTGGTTTTGTGACTTCTGGTAGAGTTGGTCATAGTAATGTTGAGCCTGTTGTTTCCCGTTTGGTGTGCCACACAGTTTGGGTGCTTGGGAGTGGAAGTTTAGAATCCGGTTACCTGGGTGTTTAACCATTTCTGAGAACTTTGTTCTTCTACAATGCAGATGTCTAATCAGAGTTCTTTAGATGAGATCATTCTCCAGGCAAAAATCCATAGAAAGTGATGTTTAAGAGAAATCGACTCTTGCAGTTGGGAAGAAAGTTTTGGAGTCGCTCGGATGCATGTGTGTTAGTGTGTGTGAAGATAGCTGGTGATCAGTTTGAGAGGTCTGGAGCACAGAATGCACGGAAACATAAAAAAAAATTGATGTATTTCTACACTTTATTAGCTGTGGTTACACTGCATGGTTAGGGAACCCAAGATGCACACTGTTTGAGTATTGGCATTGCAACACAGTCACTCATCCCTTCAGCCAAGACCAGGCTGAGACTTCATTGTCAAGGTGTCTTTGCAACTTATGACATACGACGCATTTTTTTGAAAGATGAGCTTGGAAACCGATTTTTACAGTCTCAAAAGTGACAGTTTTTAACCCCTGAGATTCTTGGCTTGGGACCGCTGTCCTAAGGCAGCCCTGTTGAAGGGTCAGGAGGGCACTTGAGTCGTTTGCAGGGAGTGGAAGCTGCAGGTCCCAGCGGTCACTGCTCTGCGCTTGGGTCTCTCGTGGAAGGTAGCTTGGGCTGTTAACTCTGGGGAGACCTGCGGATGATGGGATCTGGCTCAGGCAGGGATTATTAAGCAATATTCAGAAATCATTATAAATGCTATAAGTAAGTTGCAAAGCAGGTGATCATTGCCTCGTATCAGCAGCAGTCAGAAAATACCGGCATCTGGAGTTTGAGTAGTTGTTCCGCGGGGAATTGGAAGGGCTGCTGTAGAATGTGGTGGGTGAATGCTCTTACGTGTCCCTGGCCACCCTGGCGATAAGAAGGGAATTGTTAACTCTCATGGTGCAGCTTTTCAGGAGCAGAGGCCCTTGGGGGGGGGTGTCTTCCTCTGGGCTGGGGAGGAGTATCACTGATGCCCACTGTCTTTAACACGCATTTCAGGGAGATTGAGGCCAACAGCTTTAGCCGTTGTGTCTCTTTACAAAAGGCTACCACCGTTAAATGCTCATTCATCGCTGGAACATCATGCTAATGTTTTCGCTGCAGAAGATTACCTGAGTCGTGCCCAGGGGCTACGGGTGTTTTGCTCCAAACACAAATGAGCTGGGAAATCCTTTTAAATTTGGTAGATAGTCTTGGAAAGAATCTTTGTTAGATCTGCATGAAAGGTCAGCACCTGAGGGTGTGTGGCTGCAGAGGATGGTGAATTCAGCCCTCTTTTTGCCTTACTTAAAACTTAGGGTTTGGCTTCTGGGTATTGGGAGATAAAGGCCAAATCCGTTTAGGACTCTTTAGCTTCTGTTTCCTTACCTGTAAAAACGAGTGGTTAAACTTGGAGCTCAGTGATACGAAATAATTTATATGGCACTCCTTCATGTTTCTCTGATTTTTTTGGTTTTTTTTGAAGGCACTACTTTGGGTAAAGAACTAATTTTCTTCCTGTAAGTTACTTACCCTGCTTGAAAATGAACATTACTGACCTGTTTAGCTTACTATATGGAGTTTTTTGAGGGTATTCTAAGTTAATATAGGTGTAAAAGACCAGGGAGTAGAGAAAGAGAGAGACTGAAACCATTTGTGTTCTAAGTAAATGGGCAATACATGTAAGCTGAGCTAGTGGGAAAGAGGAAAGATTGTATATTGCTGGTGAGAAGTGGCTAGATTTTGCTAAGAAGCAGCGAGTAAAGACAACAGTGTGATCAACGTGGAAATAATCTGATCAGAGAGAGAAGGAAGATCATGTGCTTTGGTTTCCAGACTGACAGTAGAGCTCCATTTTATTTTTTTTTTCCCCCAACAGTGAGTTCATTGCCTTTAGACTGCACTCATGTATGTTCCTTATACTGGCACTGATTTCGTATTTCCTTGCTTAAAATTCCGGATTTAGCAGGAACATTTGGAATACCACTTGTGCCAAGAAATTAATTTGATATGGTGTGTCTAACAGGTATACATGTGAGGTTTTGATTCGATTTCTAGCAGTTTAGCATATTTTAAAGTTTTTTTTTTCTTTTTGTCAGATTATGTCTACTTCGAAAATTCTTCAAGTAACCCATATTTGATACGAAGAATAGAAGAGCTCAATAAGGTAAACAATTTCTTCCATCAAGTCTTTGAAGTTAATTGAATTTATGAACTGTTTGATTTGATTAAAATCAAAGCAATTCTTTAGCAGTACTCTCGTCATTAGAAGCTTAAAAATACTTTTGTTCTGATAATTTTCTGGAATGCTTTCAGACCAGCTAGATTGTTCTCCTTTAGCATGAAAGGACTGAGGGACAGGGGTAGGTCATTCTCAAGGTGATGATGCACACCTGTAGGGTAGGATACTTCTGCAGTTCTTCAATTCCGTGCCAGCATCATGTGATATGAAGATAATAAAACAGTTTGCCTAGAGGATGGAGAGCTTTGTAATTTGATCTTTCGGGGGGTGGGGGGTGGGGAAGACTCTTGCTCAACAGGAAGGTTTGGAACTATTATCTGCTTCCTCAGACTTTGTATTTGCTGGTTGTCTTCTGGGCCAGTGTATTATTTCATCTGCCAAATTTCCCCTTCATTGGATCTAAAAGGGAAGCATGCTAGCTGGTATGTGGGAAGCCAACTGATGCCCTCGATGCTGAAATTTTATCTAGTTGAGGAGGAAGGACTGTTCTGAAGCCATTAGCTGTGCCACTTACTCAGGTTTAATACCAGCATGTCCATTGCAGCCCATACAGAAGGAATGTAACATTGCTGGTTTGGATTTGAATTTAAATTAACTGACTAAAATTAGATCTCTTTCTTCAGCCACCAGTGATGGAAAAACATGCCTTTCTAAAACAGTTACTTGGAAGAGAAAAGATAATGTCAAATAAAGAATCTGAAGGCTAGGACATTCTTGTAACCCCTTTGTGGTGGACGTCTTTTGCGGAAATACTTTGCCTCTCTTCCATGAATGAAACAAGGGCAAATTCTTAAAATATTCCCAGTAGATCCATAGCCATCAGGTATCAATAGCTGTATTCCATCAGCTATAGGGTGCAGATTTGTTAATCAACTTTCTAGGAAAGTGGTGTTCTCACTTCTTTTCCCTCTTCATTCTTCCCCTCTTTGAAAAATGAACTTGCAGCCTGGCTCTCATCTTGCTGCAACTCTTGCTTGAGCTATAATTTCTCTGACCTACTCTTTGAAATGGGTTTTTCAGGTTGAAATTAATCATGTATCTTGTGTTGCCTTTTTTCCCTGAGTCTAAGTGAAGCCTGGTCAATTAAGTGAAATAGTTAATTCTACACTGTAGCAGTGTTCTAACAAGATGGCTCCTGTCTTTGTATTTTAGTCCTCAAAATTTAAAAATTCTGAATTACTTAACAGAAAAGGATAGAAATCCTGCAGGCTCTGTACCAAAAAATGGTAGACTGCAAGGGGAAATACTTGTGCATGTATGTATTGTCTGATTTTTTTTTTTTCTTTGCGCTAAGAAAATTGGTGTTATAAAAGATGAAACTTCCCACATTCACATCTTAGCAACAAGCATGTATACCAGTTTTAATTCTGTTTTCTTGTGGACAGATTGCTGGTGCACTGCCTTTTTTGGAGGCTTCCCAGAGGGCAATTTGTATCTTAATCTTCTAGTTTCTTAAACTGTGTGCCATCATCATAGTTTCACTTCAGTAGTCTACAATTCTAGCTACAATTATTTTAATTTACATTTTCATTATTTATTTATTTTAGAGTCAGTAGATTGGCTGGGGCTGTTACAAACCAGTGTGTGTATTTTCCCTAGAGTTTGTATAAAGGCAGTTTCACAATTTGGCAGGTGCCATCTTATAAGTGATTGATCACCTCTTTCATTATAAGAGTACTAAGAAAAAAAATTCCAAACCTTTCAAAAATTCTGATTTTCTTTTCTTTTTTTTTTTTTGTGGTATCTTGTCACTGGTGTAGAGTTTATTTTCTGGTGCACCTCACTTGGTTCTCCTTTTGGAATGACTTTTTGGTGGAGGCCATTGTTCAGCTCAGCAGTGCTGTCAAAGAAAGAAAATCTTACATGATTTCTTTTGTGAAAGTAATAATGCCTGGGTTCTTTCTTGCTTTCCTGCTGTCCTACAGAGTTTGGAGAACAGCCTAAACCTGAACTCTGTTGTTATATTTCACAGTTATTTTTATTAGGATTTTAAAGATGCTTTTGAATTTTACTTAATGTAGGCATCACTTGAAAAGTATCAGTGGCTTGTTAATATGTTGTAGATGCAGGTAGATGTTTCTTCTCATTATCTGAAACATCTGTAACTGCTAAAGATGGTGATCCTGCCGAAACAATTGGGAGGGAAGGGCCAAAGTTTCCCTACCCTGGAACTGATCACACCAGAGTTTGTGTGTTAGATAATGTGTGTGCAGCTGGAGGCTGCTAAAAGGCGATGCTATGTAGCTCTTGCGCAAAATACCAAATTACTTTTGAAGTTCCTAGTTCTGTGTATGCAGATCAGTTCTTTATTTGTGCTCATTTAAAATTTTTTTTCTGTTTCAGACTGCCAATGGAAATGTGGAAGCAAAGGTGGTATGTTTCTACAGAAGAAGAGACATATCGAGTACACTTATTGTATTGGCAGACAAACACGCAAGTAAGCTTGTTTGTGTTCAGATTGCTTCTGTAAAAAACGGCCAAACTTGAATAGAACTTTTATATGCAGTTTCCCTTAAACCTTTTAAAACTTAACTTGGTGTATGGCTTGATTATGGTAGGCACAGGACTTAAGACATCTTATTTGCCCCACAGAAGTGAATTTCTTCATTTTTGGAGTGAGAGGAAGCATTCTCCCCATCTCATGTATTACTTCTCACGAATTATTTGGTTTGGTTAGTAGAGTAAAAAAAAATGCAAACCCTCAAACTTTCTTTATGAGTAAATCAAATAGACTGATCATAGGAAACCAACTTAAAGCATGGCCAGATGGAAACTTGGCTAAGAGGAATTCTCATTAAATTTCAATATTAATAGCTTTCATCTGAACATGCTCAGTAAATACACTTCAAAAGCACTGCATTAGGTCATACTATTGCTATTTTGAATATTTCAAGTCTTTTTGTTAGGAAAAAAATGCCTAAGCTCGGAGGAAACTTTGAGTACTGTAGTTACTTTCTGTTTTTTAAAAAAAGCATGAAACTAAACTATCATAAAAATCAGGGGATTGTTCATGCTACCTTATGTCTGCCTCCCTTGCATGTATGCATTGTGTAATTAATTTCTTGATATTTTTTTTTTATTACTTTACAGAATGTTGTCTTACGTTGGCATTTACTCCTTTACCAAGGAGATCAGAGGCATGTGAGACAGCTATCAGAGTAGAGCTGGAAGTTTATTTCTAAACAAAAATTTTGTTTTACAATTCTCCCTCAATTATAGAAACAGTTTTAAAATACTAAAAAGTGTATACAAAAACCAGTTATGTGTCAGTATAGATTAGATGCTTGCCTATATAAATTTATAAGGCTGGATACTGCAGAAATACCCAGATGGATTAAAAAAGCCCAAACCAACACACAAAATAGGAGACAAATAATTGTAGATCTGTGCATCTAAACTCCAAAGGAGGTGTCAACATGGTGCACTAGCTGGCTCTCAAGGGGGGCATCCATCTCTGGGGGAGAAATAGTGCAACATATTATGTGAAGTTGGACATCTTACCTGAGTTGCTTCCAGCCTTTTTGACTCCATTCTTGTTGCCAGTGAAGATTAGATTTAGGTTCATTGCACCTTCCTTTGCCAGTTCAACATCCCTCTTGTCCCATCCTTGCAAGGTGATGGACACAGTACTAACAAAACAGATATGTTGAAAGGGAAAAAGAGACAAGCAGGTAGAGTTACTAAACTGTTTTTACTTGTAAACAATGGAGTATGTGAGATGTAGCTGTTCAGATTGATTAAAATTGAGGAAAAACCATGGACAGCAGTATCAATCCTTGTAATTCAAGGCACATACATAAATGAAGAAGCAGCAATCAGATCTGTCTGATCATGTCAAAGTTATGATTTAGCTTCCAAGCATCATTGTCTTTTAATGTGCTTCTTGGTGTGTGTATGAATAGACTGTGATGTATATGTAATACACATCTACATAGTTGTGCTGCATGGGGATTGATTAAATCAGATACTCTGCTTTAACAATGGATGTAATGTCTTGTTGTGTTCTCTCAGTGCTGTAGAACCACTGGGCAAAACACACAGCAAAACTAGCCCCTTATTGATAAATTGGAGTATTTTCTGTTGTAGATTCTAGTCCGAATAAGTCCCTCCATTGCACCCATTACCATTGAGATGAATTTTGCCTGTGTTGCAGAATTGGGGTAGCAGGCAAGGCTTTTTTGGTATCTCTTCAGTGCAGCAGTATTCATTTTATCTGAGAATACTGAAGCTTAATAGGAACTTCACCATAAACAACATGACTATTGATTGATTACTTCATCTGTATCTCACTTCACTAGATTTAGTAAAGTGAGCAGGTAGGAATGATCCAAAGAAACACATGTCTGAGGCTGAAAATGAAAAACATTTGAACCTGTATAAATGCTCTTTGAACTTGCAAAGACTGATTTCTTTCCATGATAAGAAATTTAAGTTGTTTTTTTAATGAAAACGAATAATTCGTTGTTCATACTCATTTGTGTTTGGAAGACAGGAAAATTCTTCTATACCACAATCCTATTAATAGAGCCACCAGAGACAACTGATGCTATCACTTAGTGTACATTTCATTTGTAACTAAAATTTTTTTCAGTATGTTTCTTTCTGGTGCAGAATAAAATTGCTACTAAATTACTTCCATTTATTTAGATAGATACGCTGTTGTGTGGCCTCTCTTCTTAAGGATGGAGAAGAGAGTAAAATTAAGCTTTTGGACAGCCATTAGTTCTTTACTCTGGGAAAAAAAAAATCTACATCCTGCTGAAATTAAATTTTGTGGATTTTAAGATTCTAGCACAGATACCCAACACTGTCACTGACTTTCAGTTCATTTCCATAAAGTCTCCTGTTGCCTCATTTTGATGCATTTGCAGTAGATGTACGTATCTGCATCGCTGATCTTTTAACTGCCTTTGTTCAGCTGATTAATGGAGCTTTCTGACTGCAGACATTTCTGGATTCACACAGTCGTCTTTTTAAGATGCCTTTATTTTAGACCTACTGTTGAGATCAGTGCAGTCAGAGAACCAAGTAATGGGAAGATATGGCCAGAATGTGAATGGAAAAAAGTATATGTATACTTTTGTAATATTTTTTTCTCTTCCAATAAAGGAAGAAAAAAGATGTGATTGTGGAATGAATGTTGCAAAGTTTAAAAGAAAATTAAAAACCGCTTATACTTTAGCTTGTATAATCCATCAGATATCTGAAACAGACAAGTCTGAGATATATTGTCTTTTTCATAACTCTTTATAAAGAGAAATGATTTGTAAGCACCTTATTCTGTAGTTGGTGACTGTAAATTAGTACCTGATGTATGCAACCTGATTCTTGGATTTGATCTGTGATCCTACTATTTTTATCATGATATAAAGCTTGTCTGGGCTGTCCTATAAATCTTCAGCCTTACAATGGCCTCCATACACTGTTAGCACTTTTTATTCACAAGCCTCTTTAATCACCTCGCAAATTATTCAAGGGAATTTCTCCACCTGTTTCTGAAATTAACCTGCTTCACCAGTATGAGTCTATTTAATGTTCTTGCCCAGAGACTTTGTAGTGGTTTAAGTTAGATATTGTATGCAAACAACATTGCAGGCAGAACTTGATGGAAGAGAAGCGAGAAAGACAGTTTTACTCCTCAGGCTACTGTCGGATGTTGTGCCTATATATTTTCTCTCTATATAGTTTTTATATAATGTCTTACATAGTTTCTTACATAATTAAGTAAATATTTCTAACAGAGGGAACACAACCTCCTATCCTCCCTTCTAATGATCCACCTCCAACTATCTGCAGATACTTGTGACCTGTCTTATGACCACAGTTTTAGCTTCATTAAAAGTGTTTATCCTGACTTGTAAAACAATGAGTAGGTAGTTGGTAGTGGTTGAAGAACTGAGTAGTTAGTGCTGGCCGGTTTGGCAGGTTTATGGTTAGATTTCAGCAGCTGGTGTTTGGGTGCCAGAGTGGTTTTGTAAATGCCAAAGCTTCTAAAAATAGATGTCTTGCAGCAGTGAGGTGTCATTGCTCAATCAGGCCCTGAGTTGCATGAGACCTGTGTGCCTAAACAGGTAGGGGTGGGGGTGGGGGGTCTGTCGAGTTTGGATTCTTTTATATTTAGATAACCCAGTCTAAATGCAGTTTGACAACAGCTTCACAAATGAGGGTTGGGGGTTTTTTTCTTCCATTTTCTTCCCTTTTTCCTCCATTTTCTCATACCACCACACATGCAGATTTAAGAGGAGTCAAATTCATTAACCCACTAATGACAGTTTGGCTCTGTTGTTACTGAGAGGAGGAAACTTTTTTTTTCTCCTCTGGGGGTGGTTCAGTCAGGACAGATACGCCTAGTGTCCAAAATAGTGCTTGCTCTTGGTGCTACCCGTAATAGTGTCCATGGCTGCTAAATATGATCACAAGTTTTAGGAAGGGGTTGTAGTGGGACGTCTTGATAATGTGGCAAACTCCTTCTGAAGTGTCAAGGTATAAGGATTTATTAAAACTTTCACCGTATTTTCTATAGCCACAAATCAGTATCTGGGTTTTGGTAGAGAGAAAACTAATAAGGCTGAGGTTTAATATAGACCATTTGAAACTGGACCTGGGTGAAGGAATGTGGTGTTGTATTGTTCATTTCTTCAAATGCAACACTCCTGTAATGTCCTTCCTTCGTTGAGCTGTTAAAGCACCAAGAATTTAAGCTTCCTTTGGTACCAGAGTAACTGTTGTGCAGGTCACTAGCACTGGATTTACTGTGTTTCCTGATGTTTTGACCCCGTGTTGTGTTTTTTTTTTTTTTTGTGGTTTTTTTTTTTTTTTTTTATGTGTTTTTGTAGTGATAACCATGCTAACTAATTCTTCTGTTGCTACAGACTGTCTCCCAGGCTGGACAACCTAGTGTGCTCTCTAAACCTAATTTCTGTATCTTGTTTGCCTTGTGCATTTCCAAATTGTGCCATGTAACTGCTTCTATGACACCCAGAGAAAGGGCTGGTGCTTTCTACCTCTGATGTTGTAGAGAGCCCAGTATGATCTATATCAAATTGCTGTTCTTTCTAGCGTCTAGCAAATATTGATGTTTAATTTCGCATCTCATACACCCAGTCATTTTAAATTACAATTATTGCCTCTTGGGTTTCTCCTGCCAACTCAAAGTTTACTCTTTCTAATTATTTTTCCCAGTATATGTTAGCTTTCACATGAGTCTTGCTGTTTGTGTCCAATCTGCCTGTCTTTTGTTCCCTATATAAGTCGTCTTCAAGCTTTGTTAATGTGCTATTAATGATACTGTCATCAAATATCAAATAATATTTAATCTAGTACACTCCTTGAAGCATTTCACTGGCTACTTCTGCATAGCTGATATATTACTGTTTGTATTAAGACTAAATGTTTAGTTTTAAATCTGCATGAGCACATCTGTCAAGCAGAGAGATTAATTTTTAAGTAAGGCTTTATGAGAGCATTGAAGTCCCAATATACTGCACCTACTGCATTCCCATAACCACTTATTCTGCAGTACTGTAAAAATGTGGGCATGTCTTTCTGAAAAGATTTCTTATATATTTAATATATACGGTTGTATTTTTTGGAGACTTCGGTCCGTATTTCTCATGAGTTACCATTCTTGAGAGGGAAGTCTGTTTCACTTAGAGCTTGAGTGCTTGAATTACAGGAGGGTGAAACACAGATGTGTCACACAGGCTTGTCCTGGAACCTGAGGCTGGGCCAGCCCCTGTTGTGGTTTACAGTCTGACTTAAGCCCTTGCTGTCTGCACAGAGGTGGTGAGGTGGTATTAGTTACAGTTTTGTCAAAGACACTTTCGTGTGACTTTAGTAAGGCAAAGGGGTTCCTGTGCTGGATCCAGCCTTGTATTCTCTCCTTTCCTTGATTCCAAGTGCATTTACCAGGTTCATTCTCTTCAGTACTAAATCATGGCTGTGAAAAAGGAGGGAAGGTGTTTGTGTAGATTTGTTTGTTTGTTGTTTCTTGGAATATTCCTACCTCTGTATTTGAGAACTACGATAACTTTTACCTTTGTGTGTGTGGAGCTGTTACCTGTAGAAGTGTCTGTCTTTTTTTAAAGAAAAGTAGTATTTATTGTGCTTTATTTTGAAAGGCTGTGCATAGTGGAGCTGGCATAAGAAGAAAATGTGTGCTTCCCACCTTTCTTACTTTATTACAAAAGCTAGACCCAGAAATAAAACACTAGTTGGAAGATGAGCCTACGTGAAGGAATGAAGTCCCAAAGATTAGCTTGGTTATGCTGGGTGGTTTCACTTTGTTTGTAGATCTGATTGGTACATAGTGGTTGATGTATTTTTAAAAAAATATATAATTTCTAAAAGATATAGGCTATTAAATTTACTGAAGATATTGAGGTTGCTCCTTAGACTATTTTTCCTGCATTACACAGTGCACTACTCTTTCTTCAAGAACTGTTGTAAGTGCAGGCATGAATGCCTTTTTGTGTATCCTTCGGTTTTTAGGCAAGATAGCTTGGAACTACTGACTTGTTTGTGAATTGCTGCTGGTATATTTATAGTGTAGGTCAGCAACCACAATACTAATTTTCAACTAAAACAGAATCCACTTCAGTAAATAAATTGCAGAACCATGAAACTGTGACACAAATGTAAATTTGGTGTTCTAGTTCCTAGGAAAATATTAAAATGTAAGTTCATACTGCTGTATGCTTAACAGCTCATATGGTATAAGAGCTATTGTATGTTGTAGTCTGGTTTAATTATGCTACTATTTTTTTTCCTTCCTTGTTGGACAGTTTACCTGAGGGGCATATAAACCATGGGTCTTTTTCCAGGACAGTAAAACAGTGATAAATTGCAGGGAGCCTGAAGGGTACATATTTTTTTGTCACCCCCTTTGGCATAATAGTGGCCTACTTAAAACTAAATGCAATTTTAGTGTTTTATAAAATTGAGATCTCTCTGCTTGCTTTATTTTGGGACAACTATGAGGATTACAGTTAAGTAATCTTAAGGGTATATAAATAATAACTGTGCCTGTATATGTTTCTGACTAGAAATGTTTCTTGGCAACAACCGTTGAATTAAGCTGCAGGCATAAGTCTGCTCTTTGAGAGTACTGCTGCCATAAAAATGAGAGTTTTACAATTCATGTATGAGACTTTACAGCTCATTCTGTTTCAGTCTGGGAAACTTTTCTCATGGTTTTGGAAAATGCAATAACTGCCTTAATTTCTTAGAGAAGGGAAAAGTCTGATGTTTTCTTTCACAGTCCTTCATCATGGTGAAGCTTTTCGTCTTTTTTTTTAATATTGTTCCTTTTACAGCTTTATCTTGCATAATTGACAGAGTACTTGCTGATGAACACAAAGCATATTAATAACTAGGTGCCTAGAGATGTGGTTTGGATCAGGTGTATATTAGTGTGGATGTGATTTCATATATTTACTTCGGCATTCAATTAAAAACGGGTTAGATGGAGATTGGATAGCTTGAAGCCAGAGATGGTGGATCCTGACTGCAGAATAAAGCCAGTTTTTGAAATGCAGGAGTACTGCAGTCCAGTTTGTGTGGTGTGGTAGGGGAGAGTGGGGTGCCAGACTGGCCTCAGGCACTTCCATTCCAGTTAATCTTGTGACTGTGAACTATTGACTGTGATTGGGGTGGAGAGAATAGCATACACTAAATAAATAAACTAACCTTTTCAGTGGGCATTTCTTGCAAAAGTTGAAGTTGGGATCAGACAGTGTAATATTCTGAAAGAGGAGTAGGGTCTAAGATAGCTGATGGCTGACAAAGAGGAAAGAGTTTGCTTTTACTGCCTTACACATCACATGTCAGCTTCTTGTTGATGAATCTGGCAGTGCAGTGATGGTCTCCAAGAGCAGGTCTCTTCAGAGCTTGTCTGTTGGTAGCAGATTTGTGTGACTTCCAGTTTTGTGAGCCAGTGTGACCTGTGTGTACCTGGAATGCTTTGATGCCAGTTGTGAATAAATGCGGTTCTTCACAGCCATCATTTAAAGGTTCTCTAATAATTATCTAATTGTTCGGTTGGCTGAAATGTGAGGGTTCAGATGAAGTTAGATTTAATCTAAATAATGTGTATTGTTTAGCAAAGGTTTTGGAGCACCTCATCCTGATTCACTCCGAATCAGTACTTGCACTGTTCTTGATGGTCAATGTTGTCTCTTTATAACTAGGAGAAATGGAAGAAGAGATGGAAAATCCAGAAATGGTTGATTTACCAGAGAAACAGAAGCACCAGCTACGACATCGTGAGTTGTTTCTCTCACGACAGCTGGAATCTCTGCCAGCCACACACATTAGGTAATGGCTATTTTGTTCTAGTGCTTTTTATTAAAAAAACTAAAAGGTATTATTGTTCAGGTATTGTTCAATGTAAGATTAAATTCTCTGTACAACTGCAGTAATACCATCTTGTGAATCGCATGAGCATTTAAGATGTTTTTTCATAAAATGTGTTTCTCTTTTTTAGAGGCAAATGCAGCGTTACTCTGTTAAATGAGACAGAATCCCTTAAATCATATCTGGAACGGGAGGTATGAACTGTTTTGTAATTTGTCAAGCTTGAACGGTTTATTCTGGTTCAATTTAAGATTGGTGGCACTTAGCAAGTTTTCTGAAAAGAAGGTGGTTCTTTAATTTCTACACATACTGGGCATTGACAGTGGGAAGCTTTAGGCTCCATGCAGTTCTCATTCTAATATAAAACTTCGTGTATCTAGTGGCCAGATCTGTTGTTACATCTTTGTGACAGTAAGCTGCCTCTCCTTCTGTAAAGAGAGCCCTACTTGCTCATCAGCCTGGCAATCTGAAAGTTCAAACCTGGAGGCTCATGCCCCAGACAAGACAGGGTGGGAGATACAGTAGTTGTAGAAGAGGGAGCAAGCCAGCAAGCTGTGTTTCTATATATTTGCTTTATCCTGAAATGTTACAGATTTCTGTTAATAAGGTTTAAGCTTTATCTTGCCTCAGATTTTGGAGGAGCTTGATTCCCTGTTTTTTTGAGTTCACTGTTCAAAATAATCTACCTGTAGTCCTTCATATGCCGCTGCCAGACACTTAGATCCTTGCAAAACTGCTTATCAGTTAACTTGTGAGTCCTGCAGAAATTTACCCAATCTGGGTCTTTAAAGGTACTTCAAACTGAACACTTGAAACTGAATTGTCTTGCACTGTTAATCACTATACAGAATATAAATTCTGGGGTTTACTTTTTCAGGTATTTTTTGACTTTTAATTAACTTTTAATTCTTTTAAATGTATATTACTATTTGAGTACATCTGCAAGCCTTACATTTGGATTTGAAAATGCTAAAATGTTATACAAAAGAGGAAATCTTGTAATTAAAAAAAGTAGAGTAACAGTCATTACCAGTCTTTAAGAAACAAGGAGAAAACAGGTCACTTTTTGCAAGGAGTTTACTGTAGTCTGTCTCATAGTTGGGCTTTCTTTTTAGCTTTCTTTAGTATTTATTTAAGCATAAGATTAGTTTTAATCTGATACTCTAAGAAAATTTTAAACAAAGCACAGGGATTAAATAGTTAGGTTTCTCTTTGGAATGTGAAACCAAAAACATGTCAAGTCTGCTCAGGGCTGCCAAATGGCAGCACATCAAACAAGGGCCGTTGTATTCAGAAATACTTGTAACCAGGTAGCAGCCTAGGATATGCCAATTTGAAAGAAAAAGTTAATCAAGCTGAAATTATTTCAGATTTACTAGTACCCAACTTTTAAGTAGTGATTGTTCTCAATTGCTCCCAGCACATTTTTCATCATCACCTTTATTACAGGTAGGTACACTGAGACAGGGAAAGGAGCTGGCTGCTGGCTTCCTCTAAACATGCAACTGCTCAGTTGCAGATGTAGGAATAGAAAGAGATTTCTTTTTTTCATCCTTTTGAACTCTCAAAATGTAAGATGAGTGATGTGGGTTATTTTTAAAATGGAGCAGGCACTTAGAGATTTCACAGAATGAGAGAGTTCCCTGAATGTGCCCTGTCACTTAGCTTGCACCACAGCAAAATACCATGCTAACTTGGGACAGATGGTAAAGAAATTAAAAGCTCAGGAACACAAATGTGCTTGGGTGGAGGGTTAAAGAGATTAAGAAAAGGAGATAGTTATTGCCTGGTGAATTCCTAGCACTGGGTGCTATTGTTTTGAATTGTTTCTTTCCTCCTTTCCTCCCCCCCCCCCCCCCC